GTTGCAATCGCTGCCAGAGGCTCTCCTGGGTACCGCCGCCTCACTCATCAATTGCGCGGCGGGCGGCCATCTTGGATCCCGGTTCATCAGCGGTTCGTGTCGCCAACGCATAGCATTCTAACAGTTATTCGGACGGGCACTAACACCGCTAAGCCTCCAGGACGCTCGAGTTTCTAGGACCAGGTTCATTAAAAGACAATCGGTTCTTTTCATGTGTTTCAGAAAGAAAGTTATTTTTCTGTGCGGCGTTTCGAAGTTATTAGAGTTTTGTAGCTGGGATCTGAGCTGCAATCCTACCTAATGATGCTTCAGGACCCCAAAGCTATCTACCTAACGCCCATTCGTGTAAATCCACCTATATTGTACCAACTGTGGATTTTGTGTGAATTAGCCGTAGCCCTTGCTGCACGAGGGGATAATCCCCTTAACGGTGCATTCTGGGAGGATGATCCCTCTCGTGCAGCGGTGCCTGATGGGAGAAATATGTAGTACAGTAAGTCCCCATGTAGTCCCCTCCTGTACAACCCCTGTAATGTCTGTTTGGAAACCCCTTGCATGGGGAATTGCATAAATACTGTGACCTGTGATTAAAACCTCAGTTGACTCCCAGCCTATGTGTCGTCTAGTTCTTGGGAAGGAAGGGTTACTGCAGTGCTGTTTGGATTATTGTATGCTGATTCCCTGGATTATCCTTTGTTGTTCCTGTTACCCAGCGGAGATATCGTGGATCATACTGCCTCTCCGCTACACAGCTCCAGGCAATTGATATGCTGAATGGATTCGTCTGTGGACCATCTGCCTCCGGTGGATATGGGACCGCAACGCACGCCCCAGCCATGTAAGCTCGCATTCAGTGGCGTACACATGACCCATGGGGCCCCGGTGCGAAAATTGATCCGTGGCCCCCCCCGCACGTGCGGGCCGAACCGCAACACATGGCGGTGGGCACCTGGTCGCAGAGGTTACAGGGCTGCGACCCTTGCGACCGCGATATGTTAGCCAGTGCATGCAGATGCACACTCACTTAAAGGACCACTACAGACCCCCAGATCATATCAGCTCAATGAAGTTGTCTGGGTGTCAGGTCCCTCTATTTTTAACCCTGCAGCTGAAAACATAGCAGTTTCAGAGAAACTGCTATGTTTCACTGAGGGTTAATCCAGCCTCTAGTGGCTGTCTCACTGACAGCCGCTAGAGGAGCACACTGAATGTCCATAGGAAAGCATTGATTAATGCTTTCCTATGGGCGGTTTGAATGCGTGCGCGGTCGCATTCGGAGCTGACAGATCCCCAGCGCCAAGGGAGTCCGGCGCTGGAGAAAGGTAAGTGCTGAAGACACACACTCACTTACAAACGCATACACACTAGCTAACAGACACGCATTTAGTGACAGAGACACACTCAGCGACAGACATAATACACACTCACTTACAAAACATACACTCTCATTGACAAACACACACTCACTAACAGACATCAAACAGACTCACTAACACACACACACACACTCAGTAAGACACACACAGTAACACACTCACTGACACTCACTAGCAGACACACACACTAACACTCACTCTAACACTCACTCTCACACACACTAACACACACACACACTCTAACACACACTCTCACACACACTCTCACACACACACACAATCTAACACACTCACACACTCTAACACTCACACACACACTAACACTCACACTCACTCTAACACTCACTAGCAGACACACACACTAACACTCACTCTAACACACACTAACACACTCTAACACTCACACTAACACGTTTTTTTTTTAATGTTATCCCTCCAGCCTCCTTACCTTTTGGAGTGCTGGGGGGATTCCCTGGGGTCTAGTGGTACTGCTGGGCTCCTGGGCGGGTGGCCGGTCGGGCAGGCGTGTGCATGAGGGAGCACTCAGTGCTTCCTCTTCGGCTCCCTCGCACGCCGCGTAGGTATGCCGGCGCCGGAAGATGACGTCATCTTCCGGCTCCGGTATCAGTGCGGTGCACGAGGGAGCCGAAGAGGAAGCACTGAGTGCTCCCTCGCGCACACGCCTGCCCGACCGGCCACCCACCTTCCGGGTGTCAGCAGGGCCAACCTCGGGTGGCCCTGGGGTGGTCGGCTCCTGGGCCCCCCAGGGGAAGAGGCTGGCCCTGTGGGTACATACCGGGTCGCAGGGGCGGCCGGGCCCCCTGGTGGGCCGGGCCCGGTTGCAGCCACGACCCCTGCGACCCTGGGTTGGATCCAAATATCGCTCAGAATTCGTCTGACCCTGTTACGTCTGACAGCGCAGACATTTGGGCTGCTTTGGCCGTTGTGGATGCAAATTGCTTCCCTGCAAGGTCCTCGCCTTGAGAAATCTCGTCCTCATAAGGATCAGAGTATGGCTCATCTGATCCCTCCTCCTCACTTTTGTCCGAATCGGACATCATATCTTGGACCCTCGCCTGTTTCCAATTTCTGGCTGCTTTTGCCCGGCCAGTGGCTCATTTGCGTGGTTGTTGCGTGGTATCATAGACAGCCTGAGGCGTGTCAGTCAAACCAGGGGTCTCTTGGGTGTGAGGAGGGACACTGTCTACTACTTGTTTCAGAGAGATTGAAGATATAAATAAAACCACTCAAGGAATCTAGATTTATTTCCTTGATTTTTCTTAAAGGTACAGTACCACAAATTATTTCTGCAGTTGTGTTCCTCTATTTTTTCTATTTTCAGCTGAAGCCTACACTACTTTATATAAATATATAGTTTTTGTGGCAATTTTGTTTTCTCTAATGGCTATTAAGCGAACAAGGCTAACATACCAAATTCTAACATTTCTCTACATTGAAAATGTATTTTAATCTTTGTATTTTGTGACCTGTAACTACCAAAAACCTAGATATATGATGTACTTTGTAAAATCAGTACATATTGTTGAATTTATTTTTAATTACTTTTCTTATGCTGCACTAATTATGCAGCATTATTACTGCCAACACTGTAATTTTTTTGTTTTTTTAATATTAAATGATAATTTGTATATGTCACATTAAAGCTCTTTTTGTCCTTTCAAACAGAGCAATACATGGTAAAGATGGAAATTGGAGTTGTCATTAAAAATGTCAAAATAGTGTTCTCAAGCAAAATAAAATCATTGGGTTAACGTAGTTCATTGAAGGGATGCATTTAATATCCAGGAACAAATTTTAGGGAAGTAGGAAGACAATCTAATGGTGAAATGGACACAAACATGGCCCAAGTTTGTAGCCACGGCTACTATACACCTCAAATGAAGATACCCAAGACTCAACTGTAGGAAATCTATGAAAGAAAGATATCTTTTATAAGCTGTTTTCCTGGCACTATAGGCTCCTGCAGTGCTCCCCATGGTGCTAAAGGGGTTAAAACGCCTTCATGAACCCAGCGCAGATATCCCTTGATGCTGGGTCAGGCTCTGCCCACGCCGACGTCAGCCGGCTGGGGAGACCTAAAGCACATACGCGGCAATGGCAGCAATCTGACGCTGGAGGTCCTAATGCAGAGCATAAAAACTGTACATGTGAGATACTGTTGCACTCGTGAGACTTCGGTGAACACAAATATGAGCGTTTTAAAACAATAAAACTTGTAATGATGATATCATCAGTGAAAAACAAAATATGAAAACTAACTTTGGCTAGTGTTTGTGACTAAGTGGCTACTACAAAAGACTGGACTTACCCAATTCTGAATATCCTGGGTTGTCTACTTTTGTGAATGGTATGCCATGGTGGGGTTAATTTTCATTCCTGGATTGCCATACAGTCCCAAAGGCAGCATAGGCCCAGCAAACCAACCTGGCAAATTTCATTGTGTAAAAATAAAAAAGGGGAAGAAAGCCCTATATTTAACCCTGTAACTCTCCAAAACCCCATAAAACATGTACATCAAGCATGTCAAACTCACGGCCCATAATACATATTTTTTTCCGGCCCAGCGAGCCGCAATTTTTCCATGCTTACTAAAGCAGAGCTGGCACCTGCTCTCCCCACATTGCATGTGCCTACTCTGCTACAATTTACCCGGCTGGGGAGAAGAGGTTGCTGGTGGCAGCGAGGGAGCACAGTCTTCCTGCTCCCTCGCGCGCCCTCTGTAGTGATGCCGGGTGCTGGAATATGACGTCACCTGGCATCACTATACTGCACGCGTGAGGGAGCAGGAAGACTGAACTCCCGAGAGAAGCTCAAGAAAAGGACCCATACCAGCTTCCCAAGGTAGGGAGCAATAAATAAAATGATGTGAGTGTGTGTAAATGTCTGTGTCTGTCTTTATGTGTGTGTCTGTCAGTTAGGGAGTGTGTCAGTGTCTGTTAGTGAATGTGTCTGTCAGTTTTGCGATGGCTGCAGCTGGACAGTGGAGTACCTGGAGGTGTATAGAGGCATGCAACGCCACATTCCGACGTGACGTCAACGTGCTCCAGAGGGGGGGACTGGGGTTTAGTACAGAAGGGGGGTCTGGGATTTAGTACAGAGGGGAGGGCTGGGATGTAGTAGGATTTAGTATAGAGGGGATCCTGGGATTTAGTACAGAGGGAGGGGGACTGGGTTTTAGTACAGAGGGAGGGGGACTGGAATTTAGTACGGGGGAGGGGGGTGGTCTGGGATTTAGTACAGAGGGGCTGGGGTTTAGTAGAGGGGGATACTGATTTTTTTTTTATATACTGTACTTTTCAAAACAAACCTACGTTTCTATGAAAATTAAGGTTGTGTTTTTTTGCGGCCCACAAACAAACCTTGTTGAAGTGGCCCATGCTATCCATTGAGTCTGACATGCTTGCTGTACATAGTGAGTACTTTTGTACTTGTGAGACATCGCTGAATACAAATGTGTTATTTATTGCAGTAAAAACCTAACAGTATTATTATATTTACAGTTAAAATGCTATGCAGAATTTGAAAAATAAAAAAAACGTATTTTTCCAAAGTTTTATTATTTATATTAAATTAGGTTTCATATATAACTATTTAATATGAAATCCCTGTTTCTCCTGAATTAAATGCTATATAATAAGTGTGGGTGCACTTAATATGAAAAAGATGAATTCTGGTTGAACAGACATTTCGCGCAAGTTCCAGGTTTTGTTTACGTTTTGATCACAACTTGTACTACTGACTCCGTCCTTAAAGGGTTAAACTATAACATCAACATTGACAGTTCCTCTTTATTTACATGTATTTATTGTTTTAGTCAGGAAGCACCCACATTAAAGCAACACATTGTGTAATCAGGACGTCATTGACTCGCCTCCCGCAAGAGTTCCAAGTGTAGTATACCTCGGAGTGCCAGTTTGCCAACGCTCGCATTGGGCAGCTGTTATTAGAAAGAACTTGGGTGATATACCGGGTATTTATCTGCTTTTTAAATAGTTTTATTTGTGAAATAGAATCATTGAACAGTTTCTGCTGACCATCACTTGTCCAGGAGGAATTAACTACACTGTCCCCTACTGAGGTGGCGTATTGGAGCATTAACAGCCTGATCAGTCTCTACCAGCTCTGTGTTTGTGGATGGTTTAACTCATATACACATCACTTGCATATTTAAAGGACCACTATAGTGCCAGGAAAACATACTCGTTTTCCTGGCACTATAGTGCCCTGAGGGTGCCCCCTCAGGGTTAATCCTAGAGGGACCTGGCACCCAGACCACTTCATTAAGCTGAAGTGGTCTGGGTGCATACAGTGGTCCTTTAAAGATCAGTATTACACTATATGGGTTCTTTCTGTTTTCTCTCTCATATTGAATCAATCCGGTAGGTTTTCTATGCATTTTTGGTATTCTTGTGAGATGTGCACAAATATTTGAAAGCACTTTGAGTGTGTGGTTTAGGAACACTATAGGGTCAGGAACACAAACCCTGGACAAATATCAGACAATTATACACACGGCTTTATGGTAAATAAACTAGTGGACTCTGCAACATGTCAACCTAAATATTCTTTGGTTAATTAAAGGAACACTATAAGTACCTAGACCACTTCATCTCAATGAAGTCTGGGTATCATGCACCCCCATTTTAACCTGCAGCTGAAAACATTGCAATACTAAAGGAAAGACAATGTTTTCTTTGCCGGGTTAGCCTGTCTCTAGTGGCTGCTGTCCTCCAATAATTAATCAGATAATCTCACAGACCATCTGACTGGCACATACACATCTCTGCCAAGAAGGCAAGACGAGCCGCAGACAGAGCAGCGTCTGCCACGTTAACGGATAATCCTCGTGGGTGGGGCATTACCTAAATGGTGACAAGGGTACTATCTATAGTGTTAGGGATACACATTAGCATTCTTAATGCTATAGTGTTCTTTTAACAGGTCATCTCAGCCGCCTTGCTTCTTACCCCAGATTTCTCAGAGCTCCCTAAATACTTTCTTTCCTCCACGTCAGCCTCCAAATATTCCTTTATACCACATGTCTCATTCTAGCATGTTCCTTCCTATTCTCTCTGTTCCTTATCCAACCCCTCTCTTATGCAGTGTCTCTCTTCGAAGATGTCCTCCTTTAGCCACCCTTTCCTTTTAGTTCCTACTATTACAAATTAAGTAAAATTGACCAGACATTGTTACATGTGCAACTGACCCCCGAGAGGGGATATGGGTCCCTCTCCTTAATCAAGACTATACTCAAGGTGATCCGAACACCCACAAACTCATTCTCTGACTAAGTGCTGCTTTAAGAATATAATTCAAAAAGTGTAAGATAACCGTTCTTTCCAAAGCGGACGCCCAAATTTAGCATATACTTTAAACAGAAAAGCTTGCTAATGCTACAAATTAAACCATTTCGCTTTACCTGGAATGAATATGAACCTATTCGCATTGTGAGTGAGCGTTCCTGGAGATTTCGCTCAGGGTATCTTAGGGGAGCGAATTGAGGCTACTCATTTCCATGGTAGCTTTGCACATAGAGCATCGCAGTTATATCATACATTTTTTTCCCCTCTTTGTTTCTCTCTCCATTTCCCCTCCTCCTAAATTTTTTGTGCTGCATTTACTCATTATACTGAAGGTGTTCCGAATACCCACAAACTCATGTCATGTTATAAAAAGTTCAATAAAAGCTTTAAACAACAAAACACAGGATGTATTTCTGCACTCTATCATTTTCTTGTTTTGTCCTGCAGGGAGATAGAGTTGTGTACAGAGTGAGACGCACATATTGCTCCTGTCTCACAAATGAAATGATGCATATAAACTGCAACTCTGGGGAACATGCCCACATTTAAACGACAACAGGGGCTCAACTTCCACTCACCACTGAATGGACACTTTGAGCTCCGATAGAGGAAAGGAAATAGTTTATTTCTTGTGTGATGCCTGATGCTTTTTAAGAGAGGCCTTCGCAGTCATTTTAATCCCACACTCAGAACATGAAAATGGTTTCTCTCCTGTGTGAATTTTCAGGTGAACTGTAAGGTTTGATTTCTGATTAAATCTTTTCCCACATTCTAAACAACAAAATGGTCTCTCTCCTGTATGAATCCTCTTGTGACGTGTAAGTTTTGATTTAGCGAAACATTTTCCACATTCAGAACAAGAAACTTTCTCTCTTCGACAAGTCTTGTCCCGTCTGATATGTGAATTGTGACGTGCAATGAAATTTGTGATATACTTGGAATGGTTTGTCCCAGAACCAACTGTTGTTGCTTTATTATTTTCATGAACTCTTTGACGTTTACCATAATCTGAGAATGCAGCTAGAACCTTACAACTCTCAGAGTTAGCATTGAACTTATGATTTCTCAATGTCATGGTCACTACTTGTTGAGGGTTACTATTCATTACATCTTGAATTTCAATAAAACAAGGGAGTGTTTGAATGCAAGTATCTTTCACATTTCCTTCTTCACATGAGGGTGATTCATCCG